ATGGTCTTTTGGAAGATTCTCGCTGCCTTTGGTTAAAGATCTCTGAGGTATTCAAGGAAATAAGATCCGATCTGTTTGAGGACGTGTGTGCTTTTAAGAATGATTGTGTTTATTTTTAATAGCTCTGCTAAGACTGTTTGGGAAGTGAACTCTGGGGAGCAATAGAGAGTAATTTAGTCAGATGGAATTTGTAGGCTATTAGCCTATCTGAACTAACGTAATATTTTATACTATGGTGAAATATAATCTAGTGAGGCTAGTTCAGGCTCTGTTTCCCTCCCGCGGCTGCCCTCCTCGACAAATGATGCTGGGTAATGTTAGTGCAGTCCTGTGAGTGAAAGGAGAAAGAACGCAATCTTTGAGTTGGGCAGACCTGAGTTCCAATCCAGTATTACTATTTTGTTTTTTCTTTTGGCGCACACCTGGCAGGTGGTCAGGGCTTCTCCTGGCTCTGCGCTCGGGAATCACTCCTGGCTCTGTGGTCAGGGATCACTCCTGGCCTGCCAGGGACCCTGTGAGGTGCTGAGGATGGAACCTGGTCGATCTCATGCCAAGCAAGATCCCTACCAGCTGTCGTATCGCTCCAGTTCCCTAGCCAAGTTTGGGTTGATTTGTTTTGCTTATCCAGTGGTGTTCAGAGTCTCCATATGTGGTGTGGGGGTTGAACCAGGTGGACAGCACACATGCAGCAGCTTATAGCCTATCCTCTTCTTACTCGGGCCCCTCTAATCAAGGTTTCATTGAGTGTTTTTAAAAATCATTCGTGGGTCTTGGATCTTGTGAAATGTTTTCTCTGCATCCATGAATCAAGTTTCAGTAAAGTGGTTGTGTGACTCTTAATTGTTTTCTTCTGAGGGGTTCATATCCAGTGGTTCTGAGGGACAATTCCATGCTCAGTCATTACTCACGGGTTCACACAACACAAGGGTTTGAAGATGGGTTTCTTGCATGCAAATCATGTGCACTAGTACCACCTCCCCTGCCCCCCAAACACAAACAATTTTTGGTTTTTGGACTGCATTTAGTATGCTCAGGTCTGGCTTGGGGAACCACACACTGTGCCGGGGATTGAACTGAGGTGAGTCACACACAAGGCTAGCAACTGCTTTACTATCGCTCTGACTCCTGCAAGAGGTATCCCTCTGATATTGGTGGGCCCCACACGTGGCTTACGTGAAGGAGGGAGGAAAAAGACAGTCACTTTCTCCCCATCCGCCTCTGCCACCAGGGACCCAGGGTTACTGGATTCTTGTCTCACTTTGCAGAAAAGAATTTCAGGAGTACACAGACGAGCAATGAAGTGAAACAGATTTTATTTGGAGGTTTTGAAGAGAAGGAGGAAGAGAAAGTGGGAGGGAGTGGAGAGTAACTTGCTCAAGAGAGAACCCAGGGTTCTCCGAGGGCAGAGAGAGCCCCTACACACATCGCAGCATTAGGCATGAAAGCATGAGAGTCCACATCTCAAGAGGGGAGATGTGGGCAACACATGTGCTCAGGCACTACAAGTGCTGGGCCGCGTGGGCCCAAGCAGCACATGGGCTGGGGCAGCATACATGCCCTTCCTCTGTTCAAGGTGGCCTTTCTAGAGGGTTTCTTCAACCTCCCCCCACGTGGGGCTTCTACCTAGGTCAAAGTCCTTGCTAAGGTAGGGTTGGGAGTGGTGATGGTCTTCTTTGAAATTTCTTCCCTGGTCTTTTGTTCCTGCTGGAGCTTCTGTCCTAGGAGGGCTCCAACATCCTCAGAGTCCATGACTGAACTGGCACCAGGAGGGGTCTTATCATGCCTTAGCTCCGGGTTCTCTGCAAGGTCAGGGCTATTACTGATATAGGCAGGTAGACAGGGAGAGTCCCTCGGCAATGAAACCTAGGTCAATGAAATTTCTGGGAAGGAAAGTTCTAAGGTTGACCCACCTTGTGTGTACAGAAAATAAGACCTGATAAGACCTTCAGCAGCAGACCCTGAGGAGATTGGACCTCTGCCCAGGAAGGAAATTCCTCGAATACCTTCCGACACCTCCCTTAATCCGATTAACGTTAGCAGTTCAACCCAGAGAAGACTCCAGAACAGTCCAGACTGAGACAACCTGAGAAGAACCATATAAAAGCCGATTCAAGGCTCTCTCCGCCCTTGGAGAAGCCCACGTTCTCCCTGGAGGGTGTTACTCTCTCTCTCTCTCCTCCAAATAAAAAGACTTCACTGCTCATCTTCTTCTGAAATTCTTTTCTGGGAGGCAAGACAAGAACCCAAGCAGCCCTGGGTCCCGGTTGGCAGAGGCAATTGGGAGAAGGTGCCCGACTTTCTCTCCTCCCTGACTCATGTGAGCCCCCTGTGAGGTCCACCTACATCCTAACTTCCCGGAAATTTACTGCCATTGCCTTGGGAGGGGGTCTTCTGCATCTGCCTGCCTACATCGCCCCCACTAAACATTTAGAAAAAAATGTTTAAATGTTCTAAATTTATTTGTTTAAATGTTTTAAATTTAAATGTTTCAAATTGAAATTAATTTTAATCCCTGCCCCCCACCTTACCCCTGCAAATCCCCAGTTATTTGTATTCAGGGCTTACTCCTGAATACACGGAGGACCATAGGTGGTGCTGGGCATGGAATCTGGGTCGGCTACATGAAAGACAAGTGGCCTTTCCCATTGTACTATCTCTCCAGCTCTGAGCCACATGGTTCTATTAGCAGATCTATCTCTAGAATGATATATCATCAATTGGGGTAACTACAACCACTGTTGAGGTGACTGTCCCTATCACCTTAGACTGGAATTGGGTATTTCATAATCCTAGGCAGTGCTCTTAACAGAAGGAATCTTGACAGGTATTGGGAATCTCTTACTTTACAGAGCTCACCAGATGCCTCTCTTTCCTAGACTCATGGCATCCCAGAATCCTTCGTACTAGTTCCATCTATCTGTGTACCCCGGGCCTGGGAGGTAGGAGGTGACTGTCAGTTGAAGAGGCAAGGATAAGAGAGAACATCAGAAAAGGGCTCAGAGAATAGAACTTTAATCTATTCTTTTCTCCATAGTATTCCATCTTCTATCTGAATGGGTTATTCAGGAGAGTATGAAAATCGAATTTCCAGGGACAAGGAGAAAGGAATATCACTTGCATTAAAGATTTCTGTAGAAGGCAGTGGAGGATTAGCAAATGAGTTTGCAAGGGCTGTTGCTGAGTCCAAGAAGTATAAAGGGGTGAACAAGAGCATGTGGGAAGAAGGGGCAGAGGAGGAGGAGGAGGATGAAGAGGAGGACTGTTGAGAAGCAGGTAGGTGGGGAGTCAAGCAACGGGGAATAGCTGTGGCTAAACAAAGTGCTACCCCACAGTGAAATGCAGGGTGGGATCAGGACAGGGACACACACCTCAAGGGTCTGGACACTCACGTCTCACTCGCTTCCAGAGACCCGCTTCATCTGAGTATTGTGGCATCAGCTCCCAGCCCAAGGCATGCAGGACCGTTTGGGTTTGGTGTCTTTTCAGAGCTGCTCTTTGCAGGAACAGGAAAGTGAATCCTGATCTCAGTTCAGGCTTCTCAAGTTCAATGTCTGGTTTCCATATTTTGTTTGTTTTTGGTTTTGATCCAGACCTGGCACTGCTCCACGCTCAGGGATCACTCCTGGAGGCCTGGAGGGGCTCTGGGGTGCTAGGGATCCAACCCAGGTCAAATGTATGCAAGGCAAGCGTTCTAGCTGCTCTATCTCTCTGGTTGTAACAAGCCCCCCTCTGTTCCCACATATCCAGAGGGTGGGGAACGGTGTGTGCGCGTGTGTGTTGGGGGGAGGTCCAGCCTTCACACATTTTGGCTGACAAAAAGAGCAATTTCTTTTTTTTTTTAGATAGCAATTTTGATTTTATGATATCCCAAAAACTCATGACCTAGGCTCTTGTCTGTCTGCCAAACGTCTGCCTCTCAGAAGTGTATTTTTTGGATGACCGGATTTACTTGAAAGACGGTTGATGCAATTCAGAATCAGAAAAGAGAGAAGAAAAAGGATGGTAAGGTAAGTTTGCATTTGCTGAGGTCGAGTTGTTGGGACAAACGGATTATTGATGTAGCCAATTAATCAGTCTATGGGTCTGAGCTTCTAAAACGAACACGGGGAGGGGGGGGGTGGGGGACTGGAGCAATAGCACAGCGGGTAGGGCGTTTGCTTTGCACGCGGCCCACCCGGGTTCGACTCCCAGCATCCCATATGGTCCCCTAAGCCCTGCAAGGGGTGATTCCTGAGTGCAGAGCCAGGAGTAACCCCTATGCATTGCCAGGTGTGACCCAAAAAGCAAAACAAAAACAAAAACAAAAACAAAAACAAAAACGAAAGCATAGGAGACGTCGGACTACAAATTCGAATGGGTAAGGAGGCAGCCGGCCAACGAGAGACTCCGGGGAAACTGACGCAGGGAAATGCGCGATCCGGAGCAGCAAAGCCGGTGGGGACACTTTAAAAGCCAAAGGGGCAAAGGACGCCTCCCAGAGGTGACGCGGAGGATGAAGAATCCGTCCCAGTCGTGGGTCACGCGGCTTCGGAGCGCGCAGGCGGGTGGGGCCCGGCGGGGAGGGAGCCGGTCCGAGGTCCTGCAAGGGGCCGACGGCTGTGGGGACACAGCAGGCTGCGGAGCCCGTCAGAGTCCCGTCCCCGTCGGCGGGAGTAATCACGTTCGCTTAACCTTGCACCTTGGGGCGGAAATGAAGCCTCGGAAACAAAAGCGCCCTTTAAGTTCGGTCTGCAAACCGTTTCCCTGCCAAGACCGCGATCTGTAAACGAGGGGCTCGCAGGTGGCTCCCAGCGATTGGCGGACACGTCCCGGCCGGTCCCTCCCGACCCGGAGGATGCAAACGAGGCCTGTATCCTGCTCTCCTATTGGCCGACCGGGCCCCGCTCTCAGCCAATGAAACGCCTTCCCGTCACCCCTCCCGGTAGCTCCTATAAATCACCCCGAGTGGCTGGTCCCGGCACATCCTCCTGGAAAAGGAAGCTGTAACGACCCTTTCCCAGGCCGTCATGTCCGGACGCGGCAAGCAGGGCGGCAAGGCGCGCGCCAAGGCCAAGTCGCGTTCGTCGCGCGCGGGGCTGCAGTTCCCCGTGGGCCGCGTGCACCGGCTGCTGCGCAAGGGCAACTACGCGGAGCGCGTGGGCGCCGGCGCGCCCGTCTACCTGGCGGCCGTGCTCGAGTACCTGACGGCCGAGATCCTGGAGCTGGCGGGCAACGCGGCGCGCGACAACAAGAAGACGCGCATCATCCCGCGCCACCTGCAGCTGGCCGTGAGGAACGACGAGGAGCTCAACAAGTTGCTCGGGGGTGTCACCATCGCGCAGGGCGGCGTGCTGCCCAACATCCAGGCCGTGCTGCTGCCCAAGAAGACCGAGAGCCACAAGCCTGGCAAGAGCAAATAAACCACCGCGTGGCTTGACACCTGCACTCGCTCCCCCCAAAGGCTCTTTTCAGAGCCACCAAAAAGTCTCAAGCGAAAGGCTGGTCACGATGCAGCGCGGTAGCTCTTTTTTTTTGAGGACGTGGGTGGCTCTAAAAAGAGCCGTTTGGTCTTGGGTTTTGCCTCTGCCGGACTCATTTGCTCTTGGCCTTGTGGCTCTCGGTCTTCTTGGGCAGCAGCACGGCCTGGATGTTGGGCAGCACGCCGCCCTGCGCGATGGTGACCTTGCCCAGCAGCTTGTTGAGCTCCTCGTCGTTGCGGATGGCCAGCTGCAGGTGGCGCGGGATGATGCGCGTCTTCTTGTTGTCGCGCGCCGCGTTGCCCGCCAGCTCCAGGATCTCGGCCGTCAGGTACTCGAGCACGGCCGCCAGGTAGACGGGCGCGCCGGCGCCCACGCGCTCCGCGTAGTTGCCCTTGCGCAGCAGCCGGTGCACGCGGCCCACGGGGAACTGCAGCCCCGCGCGCGACGAGCGCGACTTGGCCTTGGCGCGCGCCTTGCCGCCCTGCTTGCCGCGGCCCGACATGGCTAGGGACTAGACTGCCGCCCTCGGGAGGTCGGAAACCCAGAACGAGCTTAAGGGGCGCGCAAGTGGAAAGCTTTTATAAGCTTCCCTCGGGGTGGGGTCCGGAGCGAGGCTCTCACTGGTCCTCTAGCGGCTGCAGAAACAGCCAATGAAAGGAGAGGATCGGTGCCGTTGCGCAAGCAGGAGGATGACGCACGTTCCCGGGACGGCCCAATCAGAACGAAGGGCTTTTGGAGTCCTCGTTTGCATACCGCGGTTATAAAAGGGCGGGCTCGCCCGTTATGTCATTCCTTCCTCCGCTGTCCTGCGCTGCCCTCTGCCATGCCCGAGCCCGCCAAGTCCGCCCCGGCGCCCAAGAAGGGCTCCAAGAAGGCCGTGACCAAGGCGCAGAAGAAGGACGGCAAGAAGCGCAAGCGCAGCCGCAAGGAGAGCTACTCCATCTACGTGTACAAGGTGCTCAAGCAGGTGCACCCCGACACGGGCATCTCGTCCAAGGCCATGGGCATCATGAACTCGTTCGTCAACGACATCTTCGAGCGCATCGCCGGCGAGGCGTCCCGCCTGGCGCACTACAACAAGCGCTCGACCATCACGTCGCGGGAGATCCAGACGGCCGTGCGCCTGCTGCTGCCCGGCGAGCTGGCCAAGCACGCCGTGTCCGAGGGCACCAAGGCCGTCACCAAGTACACCAGCTCCAAGTGAGGCCCTGCGGGGACGAGGCGGGGTTGCAGGCGCCGGCCGCTTTATTCCAAAGGCTCTTTTTAGAGCCACCACCGAATCACCAGGAAAGCGCTGTCCACTTGCTCTCTAGGCCTTGCAGAGTGAGAGGTGTGGGAGAGGGGACATACGTGTAGCTTGCAAACCTTCCTGCGAAGGTTCTGGCACGGGACTGGCTTTGCTTCCGAGCCAAGGGGCATCCTAAACCTCTGCCGTCTTGCTTAGACCCCGTCATTTTTAGGTCCGGGTACTGGTAGCCTTAATCCCAGGCTCTTCTGTCCCAGTAGCTTTGTCGGGCTTTGAGTTCTAAAACCGGTCCTGGTCATCGAATGGAAGGACTTGGGGACCCAACGACTGAGTCCCCTGAGCACTGTCCAGAACATTCCCGGGCGCGAGGCTGCTCCTTGGGCACTGGCTCCGCAGTTCTTTCCGGAGATGTCCATGGACACCAGGCACTTGGGGCTTTCCCTGAGTGGACAGCATCAATTTTCAAAACCCCGCGCCCCTCCTAAACGAATACTTCTGTTTTCTGTGCCTCTCGGGCTTTGAAATCCCGTTTCTTAATATTTATGGGCCAGTTTTGCATTTGGTTTTTCCCTGGTACCGTTCTGACGGCAGCTCATTCTAATGTCATTCAAGTTTGGGCTCAAAAGTCACTTCAGACTTTTCCAAATTCGAAACCTCAGGACTGCGCCTCGCATTTCTCTGGTCCTGCTGCATCATTTTCCTACCTTCGTCCCAACAGGTGTTGTCAGAAACTGGTTTGTTCGGTTTTGTTTTTTAATTTTTCATTTTAATGCTCTTTTTCTTGGAGCTCTTCACTGTGAGGGTCTGTTTTCCCCGCTAGATCCTCCGCTCCAATCTGCCCTTGACACACTGGATGCTGAGGCATTTACTTAAGCATTTGTTGAATTACTTCTCTCCTGTCCCTTGGCGGCTCATTTGCTCAAGTTGAATGTGAATACGAGATGAAAACGCAAATTGCCTTTCAGCTTTCCCAGCTGGATCTCCTGGGCACTAGTCAGGAGGAGACTCCCCTATCCCCCCACCCCCTTCAGATGCCTTCTCACCAGAGTGGCACCTTTTCCTCCCTTTGGGCTCAGTATAGCACAAAGCCTGTGAGGTTTTCATTAATTCAGAGATTGATAACAGGAAAGGTCTTCCCACACACGTTCACCATCACTGTCCCATTTTTCTATTATGCACACACTCCCACCCCTCACCCCCCAGGGGCTACCTACACTCCTTAACAACTAGCCCCGTGCCACAAGACATACTGTGTTTGCGTTTTGTTTGTTATATACGTACAGGATGTTGACTCTTTCTGTCCAAGTCTTGATTTTGTGGATCAAGGTAATGATCTTGTTGATCAAGATAATGATGGCCTGACCCAAGAGCTCTGCTTTAGGCTAAGGGATTGTGGTCACAGGTGGTTTGTGAGTCCAAACGGATGTGACATTATCACAGATGATGGGTGGTATTAGGGTGTGTTTTCAAACGTGTGTAGATGCTGTTGTGACTAATAAAATTACCACAGCATTTGAAATGGCTGGATTTTTGGGGGGGGGGGGTCACACCTGGGGATTCTCAGGGGGATTTGCACTCAGGAATCACTCCTGGCAGTGCTCAGGGAAAAATCTGGGATGTTAGAGATCAAACCTGGACCCGCCATGTGCAAGGCAGGCACCTCCAGCCCCATGGGTTCTTATTATGTTTTCCAACTAATTGAAGTTAACACATATTAGCTTACCAGTTCTGAAGACACCATTACTGCTCAGTAAGTGGGCGAAGAGTACCTCTGTGCCAGCCTCATGGGAGGATGCAGGGTCCAAGCACCACAAACAAGCACTTGGTAATGTCCCTGGTGTCCTGATTAAGACTTGAGAAGGTTGTCATCTCTCCTGAGAGCCAGGTCAGAGGGATTAAGATAGAGCCCTCTGTCCCTGATTCCCCACAAAACGTGAAGTCAGTGGGCCCCCAGGGGTGGCTTATTTGAGGTGGGAAGGAGAAACAGTCACTTTCCCCAGATCTGCCTCTGCCACCTCAAACCAACTGGGCAGAGTAGGGCTGAAAAAGTCAGCACAGCTTGGACCAGAACCCCACCAGCCCCTCTAGGTGGCCCTCAATCCATACCTGATGTCCGCTTGGTCTTCTAAGTAAGGCAGTTGATCCCTACCACCTGATTTCTCTGAGAGCCACGGACTCAATTTGGAGCGAGGATTTGCTCTTTGCAGAAAAGAAAAGTCAGTGCTAGGCCTTACCCAGGGTTATTAGGTTCTTGCTTTGCCTTCCTGACAAGAATTTCAGGAGTAGACAAGCAGTGAAGCAAAACAGGTTTTACTTAGGAGGATTTTTAGGAAGGGGAGGAGGGAGAGAGCAGACCAAAGTGCTCAAGAGAGAGCGAGAGCTTCTCCAAAGGCGTAGAGAGCCCCTTACACACATCCCAGCAGTAGATATGAAAGTGGACATCTCAGCAGAGGAGATGTGGGTGCCACGTGTGCTTGGCACAAGCAGCACATAAGCTGGGCAGCATGTGTGCGCCTTTTCTTTGCTCAAGGTGGCTTTTATAGGGTTTTTCCAACCTGCCCCTATGTGGGACTTGAGCAAGGTAAAAACCCTTTGCTAGGGCTGTTGCCCGGGGGTTGAGTTGGGAGTGTTTGGTGGCCTTCTTCGAAATTCCCTTCCTGGTCTTTTCTTCTGGCTGGAGTTTCTCTCAGAGAGGGGGGTTCCACCAGCCTTTTCTGGGTCTATCGTTGGCTTTAGTTCCTATGTGCACAAGGTGGGTACTGATGAACTTAAGGCTAGGTGGTTTTATTATTTTTAGGAATTTCATTAATTCAATTTTAATTCAAAAGGCCCTCCCATTGATCGTCGATTTGCTCGAGTGGGCCCAGTAACATCTCCATTGGAGACTTTGTTTTTACTGTGTCTGGCATATCGGATACGTCACGGGGAGCTTGCTGGGCTCTCCGAGAGGGCTGGAGCGATAGCACAGCGGGTAGGGCGTTCGCCTTACACGCGGCCAACATGGCCGACCCGAGTTCGATTCCTCCGCCCCTCTCGGAGAGCCTGGCAAGCTACCGAGAGTATTCGATATGCCAGACACAGTAACAACAAAGTCTCCAATGGAGACGTTACTGGGCCCGCTCGAGCAAATCAACGATCAACGGGAGGGCCTTTACCTTTACCTTTACCTAGGAATTTCATTGCCATGGGCCCTTACCCATCAACTTGCACCAAATGGACTTTGAGCCCATAGAGCCAAAGACAAGTAAATGGAATGAAGTGAGTTAGGCCTGAGGATTTGGGTGAGAACTTAAGTCTTTTTTTCCCACCTCTGCACACTGGTGTCAAATATAGAGACAAGTACCTCCCTACATTCCAAAGTGGGGAGAAAGCAGGAGACAACTGTTCGCTCAGAAAAGAGATTTTGGAGGTTATTGAGATAGCACAGCGGTAGGGCGTTTGCCTTGCACGCAGCCAGCATGGCCAACCAGAGTTCGATTCCTCCGCCCCTCTCGGAGAGCCCGGCAAGCTACCGAGAGTATCTCAATGCACGGCAGAGCCTGGCAAGCTCCCCGTGACGTATTCGATATGCCAAACACAGTAACAACAAAGTCTCCAATGGAGACGTTACTGGGCCCGCTCGAGCAAATCGACAAACAACGGGAGGGTCTTTACTTTTTACTTTGAAGGTTACCGAGAATAATAATCAAATTATACATTAGCCAGTAGTAAAAGTATGCTAGTATCCAGTGCTGGTTAGGGTTGGAGAAATAGGGTGCTCCTATGTACCATGAGTGGGAGAAGACTGTATTGTACACTTATCTGTTAAATTTATCATTTTAACAATAAATATAAAAATTGCCTTTTTATATAAGCACACAAGCCATAAAGCCATGACATAATTGTGCAGGGATGGCAAACAGCTCACAAAATACTATTTTTTGTGGGTTGTGCCTCTGCATGACCTGTTCTATTTTTTTTTCTTTTTGGGTCACACCCGGCAATGCACAGGGGTCACTCCTGGCTCTGCGCTCAGGAATTACCCCTGGCGGTGCTCAGGGGGCCATATGGGATGCTGGGAATCGAACCCGGGTCAGCCGCGTGCAAGGCAAACGCCCTACCCGCTGTGCTATCACTCCAGCCCTGCATGACCTATTCTAATAGGTATAAGCCACAAAGCTATCACAAGAAGAGAACAAGTGAGCAAATCTGATCAGCGACAGAGTGACAGAAACAGTCTACATGAAACTTTAATTTATTAATCCCTGATTGTACCAATTATTGTACGTGTTAGCAACCATGTTTGCAACCATTGCATATTTTCAATGAAAAATGTTCCCCTGAGAAACCACGTAGCCTGTAACTAGTGTTTAAACTCTGGGTAGGGGCTGGAGCGAGAGCACAGGGGGTAGGGCATTCGCCTTGCACATGGCCAGCCCGGGTTCGATTCCCAGCATCCCATATGGTCTCCTGAGCACTGCCAGGAGTAATTCCTGAGTGCATGAGTAAGGAGTAACCCCTGTACATTGTCGGGTGTGACCCAAGAAGAAGCACTGTAGTACTGTCCTCCTGTTGTTCATCAATTTGCTCGAGCAGGCACCAGTAATGTCGCCATTGTGAGACTTGTGACTGTTTTTGGCATATCGAATACGTCATGGGTAGCTTGCCAGGCTTTGCCGTATGGGAGGGATACTGTTGGTAGCTTGCCGGGCTCTCTGAGGGCGGTGGAGGAATTGAACCCGGGTCAGCCTCGTGCAAGGCAAACGCCCTACCCCCTGCAAGGCAAATGCCCTACCCAGACCCAAAAAGAAAAAAAAAAAACTCTGGATAAACTGGATTTGAGACTCAACCCTTTCTGTCACTAGCCAGGCTGAGTTCACATGTGTGAATAAACAGAGCTCTGCCTCTTAACTCTCCAATTTGTAGCAGGGCGAGGGTCTTAACCCAGGACCTGACTCATGCGAGTGAAATGTTCTGTTACTGAACCAAATTCTTCATCTTTTAAGAAATATACTGTTGGCCTGAAGAGATAGTACAGAGGATAATGTGCTCCCATTGAAA